TGATGAGTGCTGGGCGGGGGGTGGCACGCGGAGCCACGTCCTTGTGCGCGCCAGCGCCCCTGCGCTGTCCTTTGGACTCCCGGAGATCCCGGGTCCTACCCCATCCCCCCTTTCCGTACGGTCCCTGTAGCGCTGGGAGCAGGGAGGGCGGGATGTGTGCGCTCCTTGGCGCTCTGCACACTAATTACAGGATGGTTATTTAACGACGGGTCTGTCTCTGCCTCCCCCAGCTTGCACTGGTGTCTGGCTGGGTCTTGACGTGGGCTTTTGGTGCCAGTTAGGGTCCTTGGTGGTCTCGCCTCCTTCCCACCTTCTCCCAGCATCCTTCAGACGTGGGTGGGGGGTCACCTCGCAGGTGCTGATGGCAGAGGTGGTAAGGAGAGACGCCGAATACGGGGCGGATCTGACAGCGTGGCTGAGCCCGTGCCCCGCGGAATTTGGGTGCGAGATGGGCCAGCAAGATGCGTTCGGGCTGGTGGATCCACCTGCAAGGAGGGTTGTGGGCCTCCCGGTCATGTTGTTTGAATCCTGTGCCCAACAACTTCCCAGTTTCCTCCCATTTCAGCCCCTGGGGCAGCGCTGGCCTCTTCCACCTGCTGTTTGTGGCTGCGCGTTGCGATTTGGCGTTCGGGTTGAGCCTGTTCCTGAACATCCTCCTTAGCCCCGCTGGTGGTGGACACATCTCGACAGGCTCCCATCCTGGGATCTGCTGTGTCCCGGGAAGGGAACTGGCACCTGCAGTGCTGGAAACAGACTGGTGATGGTGGTCCTTCACCCTTCAGGGCATGGTGAGATGCTGGAGCTCTCCTATTGGCCGTTGGTCCTTATCCTTACCCTCTCCTTTAACTCGTGGTCCTGAGCAGGGAGGGGGGGATTCCTAGAAGAGGAAAATCTCCGGGATGTGGGATTTGGAGGACACCTGACGGTGCTGTTAGCGGGAGGTGGCTGCTTCCATAGTGTCATTGATGTCACTCCATGTCTCTTCCATGTCACTTTTTGTCTCTGGATGTCACCTGGAGTGATGCGTGTTGCCTGTGTAGGAGTCAGGTGGTTGATGGAGATCTGGTGTTCAACCACCGGAGATGATCTGGGGTTGGTCTTCAGCTCCTCTTCCAGGAGTGCTTGCATCTCTCATAGATCCTATGTCCTATATGCCAGCCCCCCCGTGCCTGTTTGGGGTGACTGAGGACATCTCGGGTGGCACTAGGAAGGTGGTAGATGGAGTCTGTGCGTTCATGCGCTTGGACAAACCCCAACCTTTGGGCATCCTGCCCTGGGGTCTGCCTTTGGCATCCTGGAGGGCAAAGGGAGGTTTATCTTCCTGATCTTCCTTAACCCAAGCATGGTCTGGGCAGAGAATGGCTGGAGAGCAGCCCTGAGGAAAAGGATTTGGGGGTGCTGGGGGACAAAAGCTGGCCACGAGCTGTCTGTGTGCTCTGGCAGCCCGGAAAGCCAACTGTATCCTGGGCTGGATCCCGAGCAGTGTGGCCGGGG